TTAACTTTAAAATTTTATTTTTGAATTTTTTTGTTGAGGTATAAAACATAAAATTACCATCCTAACCATTTTTAAGTGTACAGATTAGTAGTGTTAAGTATATTCACATTGAGAAAAAATTATATTAAGTGAAATAAGTCAGGCACAGAAAGAGAAATACCACATGTTCTCACTTATTTGTGGGAGCTAAAAATCAATCAATAAATAAATATACAAACAAACCAGGGTTGGGGGAAGAAGACACAACAATCACAACAATTCCTTGAACTTGTTAAGACAAGTGAACAGATATGATGTTGATGGGGGATTAATGGGGGGGGGAGAGGAATTGGTAAAGGGACACGAAAATCTAGTATATTGTGTAATAAATTAAAATTAAAAATTAAAAAAATAATAATAAATTTTAAAAGTATATTCACATTGTTGTGAAACATATCTCCAGAACTTTTTTATCTGGCAAATCTGAAACTTATACCCACCAAACAATAACTCCCCTCTTTCCCCTCCCCCCAGCCCTTGGTAACCACCATTCTTGATTCCCCTTCTAGGGAGTATTTAGTCCCTGCTGCAAAGGGACAGCAAGTTACTAGGTCTGAAACAAATCACCAAACAGAAGCATTTTCTTTCTCCATCTTACAAATTTATTTAGGCAGTTAAGATCTTGTTTTATTTTGAATGATACTTCTATGCATAAAACTCTCTATGTGATCTCCCTCATGCTTGGAATAAAATGCACACTTTTACCGTGACCTGTCATCAGTATTATCTGGCCCTCCCTGCTCTCTCACCCTCTCATAAGACTTTCTGTTCTCTATAAATTATAGCTCCTTTTGTCTGTTCTTATATATCATGATCACTGTTGCCTCCTTTGTGCTTTTTGAGCCCTAAAGTTCTTCCTTCAGATCTTCAACTCTTGGCTCAAATGTCATCTCCTCAGTAAAGACCTTTCCCTTACCAAGCAACCTGAAGTGGTTCCCCTGACATAATTCTTTTTTGAACTTAAGGAAAGGTAACATTTGGACGTTCTATTTTGTTACCCTTTTTATAGACTTTGTTGCCTCGATTAGCTGAAATTGCCGTGCTTTGTTGTTGCTAGTTTACTCCTTAGACCATAGACTCTGTAGCTAGACAGACTGGTTTTCAGTCCTCTGTGTCACAGTTTATTTGTCAGGGTTGTCCAGATTAACAGAATCAGTAGAGGATATATATATATATATTTTATATATATATGTGTGTGTATATATATATATATATATATATATAAAATGAGATTTATTTAATGAATTGGCTCACACGATTGTGGAGGCTAAAAAGTCCAATGATCTGCTGTCTACACCTGGAGACCCAGGAAAGCCGTGGTGTAATATGAAGGGCTGAGAGCTGGAGAGTCTGTGGTATAGATTCTAGTCTGGTTCTGAAGGCCAGAGAACCAGCAGTGCAAGGGTGGAGGATTGATATCCAGCTCAAGCAGTCAGAAAAAGAGAGAATTCAACTATCCTCCACCATTTTTTTCTGCTCAGGCCCACACACATTGGGGAGAGCCATCTACTTTGCTCAGTTCACTAATTCATATGCTAATTTTTTTCAGAAAACCCTCAGAGGCATACCTGGAAATAATGTTTAACCAGATATTTGGGCATCCTGTGCCCCAGTCAAGCTGACACATAAAATTAACCATCACAGTTACCAATAAGGTTGTTATAAAGATTAAATGAGTTAATATATGAAAAGCCCTTAAAACAGTATCATGCATACAGTAGAAATATATGTTAGCTGCTTTTATTGGTATTATTGTTATGATGATGTTAGTCTGTCATTAGTATGATATGGTTGTGTCTGTCATTTTCACTTATGTATCCTCAGTGCCAAAAATAATACTTGGCACATAGTATGTGCTTATTTAAATTTTGATGAATGAATTAAAATGGCATGATTTTAATAAGGATAGATTTCTTATATAAAATAATATAACCTAAATATTTCTACATGTGAATGTTAGTTGCGTTATGTAAACATATTTTCATATTTGAGGAATAGAAACCATTTATTGAGAGAAAAATCGGTGTTAATATTTTTTAAAAAGTCTGGAGTAACCATATTGATTTGCAAGTGAAATTTCTTGCATCTTGAATGAGAGGAGTTTTTCTTTTTAAATTTTTTAGCTTTTCATATTTTTTCTTGAAATGAAATATACCCCAAATATTCTCTTTCTATATTCCACATGGTACTCTGATTATAGCAGTAGTAAAAAGCCTTTGATTGGAATCTGGTCAGGCAAAAGATCAACTTTCCCTATGATAGTACTCTTGGTGACATTATACAGATATCTGTTTTAAGAAATTGAGCTTCCCTTCATTCAGTAAACTTTCCTTTTTTCTTTATTTGAATTTCATTTGTCACTTTTTTTTTCCCCTTGGAAAAGAAACCAGACAATTCTAGAGCATAAGAATAGTTCATCTGAAGTTACTGCTATTCTAAGTAGAAATGTACTTTAATATATTTATAGCCAAAGTACTAATAATTTTGATCATATTTCAAGACAGTTTCATCACTGAAAATCACTTTATATATCCAGAATGGACATGTCAGGTCCAAGTTCAATTAGGCTCATATCCGTGATTCACTATTCTCTGTCATTGAATTTTTAAAAGGGGTGTAACCAAAAGGAAAATGTAAAGATACCTAAATTAAGTCAATTTTCTGAAAGATTTTTTTTTTCCCTGAAGGATGAGTAACAAGAAAATATGGTTAAAATGCTGTAGCTGTTACTTAAAAACATATTTGTGTTATGGCCTTAACATTGATAGCTTCTTTATCCTAAGCTTGAACTGCAGGTTTATCAACCATGCTATTGACACCTAGTTTGAATAGAAATGTGATTGTGCTATAATGAGTTTTTTAAAGATAGTATGTGTAAACTATTTTGTTTTTTAAGTTCTATGAACTAATTACCCAAGTCTGTTGAAGACATTCTTGAAACAATTTCAGGTATACCTCAGAAATAAACTCAAAACTAACCAAAATGTCAGTTCAGTGAAGAGCCATTCTTTATTTTATTAATTTAGATATTTCTAAATTGACTAGAACCTGATGAAATTGAGATTGAGAAACATCAGAGGATAGTGATTCTAATTTTTAATATTGCAATGATTTTTCTGTTTAGTGGGATGCATTCGAATGGCCACTAATCATAAAAGGTTTTCCAAATTTGGGTAAGACCCATTGGTCATTTCTAGTCATATCTAAAAGTAAATTTCTCTTTAGAGTCAATTGAATTATACTGGCTTATGCTTACTTTTTTAATATTAGAAAGAAATAACAATTTTTATTAAAAGCATAAAGCTTCAATGGAATCATAGAAAACTGGATATGTAGTGCTCTATTTAGCTGACTTTTATTTTTTAGTCAACTGTTATCCGAAAGGTATTTTTTGTTTATTTGTCTAAACTCTTGTTCTACAAATTCTTTCTAATATATTGGGTCACTTTCCTGACTTACTAACATACATTTTATTTTATTTTCATTCTGTCTGGGGGAGGGAGCGGGGGGGACTGGCCTGTACAGGGATTGAACCCTGGACCTTAGTGCTCTCAACACCACAGTCTAACCAACTGAGCTAACCGGCCAGCCAAGTCTAACATATATTTTAGAGGTTTTAACATTTTATTGACAAAAGGCCTACTAAGGCATCATTTATAAACAACATGGTTTAGGGCAGGGGTTCTCAACCAAGGATGATTTTACCTCCCAGAGGACTTTTGGCAATGTCTGGAGTAATTTTTTATTGTCACTACTTGGAGCAGGACGGATGCTACTGGCATGTTAGTGGGAAGATGCCAGGGCTGCTGCTGAACATTTTACGGTGTATGCAGGACAGCCCTCACCCCGCCCCACTGCCCCACCAACAAATTATCCAGTACAAAGTGTCAGTAGTGCCAAGGTTGAGAAACCCTGGTTTAGCATTAACAATGATTTTGCAAACATTGCAGATATTAAAAAATATTTAACATAAGCACTGAAGGTAATCCCAAAATACCTTGACAAGAACGTCAGAATCTTTTTTGAATAATCTTCTAGCCTCCAAAATGATTGTTTTGAAGAATATGATACTTATCTGAGTTTACAATGTCTAGAATGCTGTTTTTTAAATATTAGTCCTGTTTCTTTTTAGTTATTACACAGATGTGTGTACTCCAGCTCTCCATGACATGCACATTACACGTATTCAGTGGGAACAGGGCATGGGCATAACAGACTGTAAGAGTGATTCACATGTGATTCATGAGGGTTATACATTATTTCTCTGGTAGCAGTGAAAGAAGATGACTTGAAGTAGAAGAGGCCTTGTTTTTATAAACCAGGAGTTACGAACTAAATCTCAGTTTGTGCTGTCCACGAGTAGAGGCAGATTATTTAAGATAAAGACAGCATATACTTTATTGTCCTCTCCTTAACCCTAGGATTCCTTCACAGTCCTAAATATCAACCTAGGCAACACAGATATTTCAGTTGGCTTAGCCAGTGATAACTTCCCTTTCCTCAGCCTTGAATTTCCAGGCATTCTCACGGTCACGTTCTTTCCTAGGTCCTACTAGTATGTTTTCTCTGTAGCTGTTTGTGAGTTTCCTTTCACCAAGTACTTGTTCATACTGTTAGAGACTATCTGAGTGAATTCCATACTTTAATTTAGGGTAGGCAGGGAGAATGTTGCCTGGAAAAGTCAGTGTGCCTTGCCACCAAAGCTTGGGTCAAAGGCACTGCATACATATGTCCTCTAACACTGTTGCTTCCAGTTGACTTAAAATTAGTCACATCTTTTAAAAGCAACTTATTTGTGATTTTACAGCATTGTGAATTAAAATTTATCTTGGAATTATCATCTGCACTTTTAGCTTTAACTTTTACATTCAATTTTTTGTTTTTAAAGATATTTTGGAGGGCAGGGTCTAGAAGTGAAGGCTCTTGGACACATTTTTTATTGTTGTTATTTTTCCTTATAGATCTACTTCCCCAGCAGGACAACATCATTCTCCTATATCTTCTAGGCATCACTCGTCTTCCTCACAATCGGGATCATCTATTCAAAGACATTCTCCTTCTCCCCGTCGAAAAAGAACTCCTTCACCATCTTATCAAAGGACGCTAACTCCACCTTTACGACGCTCTGCTTCTCCTTATCCTTCACATTCTTTGTCTTCTCCTCAGAGAAAGCAAAGTCCTCCAAGACATCGCTCTCCAGTGCGAGAGAAAGGGAGGCATGATCATGAACGAACTTCACAGTCTCATGATCGACGTCATGAAAGGAGGGAAGGTATGCACTGTACTTCAGCTTGATTTTTTTTTTAGCATTCTTTTACTTAAATAGATATTTTTATTATTAAAAATTGGGAAATTATATTTATTGTTATGATAAGGAATGGATGGAGGGCCACTCGGTGTCCATTTTTTTTTTAGCATTCTTTTACTTAAATAGATATTTTTATTATTAAAAATTGGGAAATTAGATTTATTGTTATGATAAGGAATGGATGGAGGGCCACTCGGTGTCTGTGGGGGATTGGTTCCAGGACACCCCCCACGATACCAAAATCCAGGGATGCTTAAGTCCCTTACATAAAATGGTGCAATATTTGCATATAGCCTATTCCCTTCCTCCCAGATACTTTAAATCATGTCTAGATTACTTATAATAACCTAACACAATCTAAATGCTATATAAGTAGTTGTTATGCTATATTGTTGTGAGAATAATGACAAGAAAAAAAGGTCTGTATATGTTCAGTACAGATGCAGTCATCCATTTTTTTCCACCTGAATATTTTTGATCTGCAGTTGGTTGAATTCAGTGTTGTGGAACCCACAGATATGGAAGGCCAACTGTATTTAGTCTGCTGTTACACACAGACTAGAGTTCTTGAGGGCAATAGGAAATGTTTCATGACATGGGAATGTAAGCTATTAAGTATACACATGTGGGCATGTACAGATACGTTAAGTTGGTGCTTTCTTTAGTTAAGAAGTTTTACTGAGTATTCTCAAGTTTTAGAAATTTTTGGCCACCTGAAAGCATCCCTTTCAATTGCTTAGTTAATGTCTTTTAAAAAACGAGATGAAGGGAAGAAAAGCTGCAAATCAGAGAGCAGAGTTTAAAAGCATCAGAAGTATTTTGATAAAGGGGTGAGGGCTGGGGAAAAATATTCAGAAGGTCAGTGAAAACCAAGTCATCAAATTTCTAGGTGTAACTCATAATAACAAAGTAAGCAAAGCAGTTTTCCTTTCTAGATGCCTGAGAAGTATGTTAACTTTGGACTTGCTAGTCCCTATTCAAGCTGAGATACTATTATTACCTGGCAAAAATACTGCCTAATACCTGTTATTTCTTTCTGTACTTCTTGACTAACCTTCTTGTCCTTGTTTATTTAACTTTTTCCTCACTTCTCCTGAGTTAGTTTTTGAACATAGTATTCAGAAAATACTTGCTTACTTGCAACATTAATACACGTTTTAAAAGAAATGCAAGAAACATTCAAGAAAATTGTAGATGCATAGGTGGGGATTGGAGAAAGCACCTATTTTATAGAATTATTCTTTGTGTATATGATTTTGGAGCACCTCAGCACAACAGTACATGTGGAACATTGGTAAGATGGGGAAATTCTCTTATACCTATCTATTAGTTTAATAAGATATTTAACAGCTAGAGTTGGCCAGGAGTATAGGATAAGTACACTTTAAAAAGTTCGAGGAAAGATTCATATTAACTTTCAATTCTGTTATTCCACAAACTTTTTGAAGTACTCTTTTATACATTTAATGACTACTTATTGAATGAAAACTTTATTATTACTAAACATATTAGTGAAGGGAAAATTGTATGCAGTTGAGTCTCATAGGAATGCTTTTTTGTATTAAGAAGGGCTTATCTCACAGGAGGAATCCTTTTAATAACAAACCATATGTGTTTAAGTTCTTTGTGAGGAAGATATTCTTTAACCTTCCATACAAGAGATTTAGCAGATGTTTGTTCCTTTCTACTTAGATGTCATTTTCTGAAATAAGGATAATTTCAGTAGAAGGATGGGGAAGTAGTTAAGGAACAAAATATAACAGCTAGATGTAATTGTAAAGACGGAAGCATCATGAAAAAAGAATCTGGTACTAAGTGAACACGTTTTTAGGCACAATTGATATTGGAGAAGGAGTAGAAGTGATAGATATGTACACAAAAGGGTAGAGATATGCCAGGTCCTTGCCTCTTCTGTCCTTAAATGGTGATATGGATTGAGTTTTTGTCCCCTCCAAAGCTCATGTGAAAGTTTGATTACCACTGTGGCCACGTTGAAAGGTGTGACCTTTAGGAGGTAGTTGGTTCATGAGGGCCCTGCCTCATGAATGGATTAGTCCATTAACAGGTTATCATGGGTGTGGACTGGTGGAGCAAGTGAGCACATAAAAGCACTCCTCCCCCTTCTTGCCGTGTGTTTGCCTTTGTTGCCATGGGACTCCGTAGAGAGTTTCCACCAAGAAGAAGGCCCTCCCCAGATGCACCCTCGACCTTGGACTTCCCGGCCTCCAAAACTGTAAGAAATAAACTTTATTTTGAATAAATTGCCCAGTTTCAGGAAGTCTGTTATCAACAATAGAAAACTGACTAATACAAATGGTACTTGTGGGTATAGGTGTATGGACAAAGAATTGGCAGGAGAGGTTATTGATGTAAGGGACCTGTGGATACTAGGTGTGTGGGTCTTTGAGAAAGTCTGTGTACCTAATCTAGCCCCTGGGGGCAAAGAGAAAAGGAGGTAATTTTCAGTGTTTTAGTTATAAGGCTGCTACAGTTGCTATAATAGCCTCAAATAGGAGCAATTTCAAAGTTTAAGAGCAACTTGCAGAAGAATCTAATAAAAAGGGCAGGGTTTATTCTTTGAGGTTCTCTTGTTAATTCTTCGGCTTTATATCATATTTATGTTATAAACAATTTATGCCTTTTGTAGGCATATCCAAAGAGTGGTTTCTTATCTTTGCAAGTTCCCATGAGGTATGGGGTTAAATAAGCCATCTAAGCTTTGGGCCTCTATCTCTTCAAATCTAAAATGAAAAGTTTTGTTTAGATAATCAGTGAAATTCATCCCAGCTTTTGAAAAAGTGAAGTTATTTCTTTATTTTCCTATGATATGTTAAGAATGCTTTAAGTAGAGAAAGCTTTAGAGACTTGCACACATGAGTGTGATACCATTAAACAGCTCAGGAAAAGAGTACAAATAACTCTCTCTTTGCCAGCCAGCTTTCTTTTTTTTTTTAAAAAAAGAAGATGACTGCTAAGGGGATCTTAACCCTTGAGTTGGTGTTGTCAGCATCACGCTCTCCCATGTGAGCTAACCGGCCATCCCTATATAAGGATCCGAACCCGTGGCCTTGGTGTTATCAGCACCACACTCTCCCAAGTGAGCCACAGGCTGGCCGTGCCAGCCAGCTTTCTAACAATAGGCTGCTCTCATGTGCTAAGTACATATGAGGTGGTTACATGTGTTCTAGTCTAGCCTAATACTTGGTAGAATGACTGCAGTAACTGTGTGCCTCTGGATCTAAAAATGGTTCTAAAAAGTAAGCCATCAATGATATGAGAGCAACTTATTTGTTTCCATTGTTTAGAACTCTAAGTATGAGTAAGTTGTACAGGAGAAGTTCATTTTCAAAGTTTATGCAATCAAGAACATAGTTATCAAGTTAATAAGATTATCTTTGGAATTTTAGCTTATAGATGGTTTTAATCATCTTATTTGCCAATGTTTTCTCCTTTTTTTCCTGCAGAGGACATGAATTATCATTGTAATGAAATTTTAAAAGCTCTGTATTAAATATATTGTCTAGTTTCCTGAAACTTTGTAAAAGGAATTACAGTTGATTTCCAAAATTGCATTACAGAGACTAGAGGCAAAAGGGATAGAGAAAAGGACCCAAGAGAAGAACGAGAGTATGAACAGGATCAGAGCTCTTCTAGAGACCACAGAGATGACAGAGAACCTCGAGATGGTCGAGATCGGAGAGATACCAGAGATACTAGAGACCGAAGGGAACTAAGAGACTCCAGAGACATTCGGGACTCCAGGGAGATGAGGGATTATAGTAGAGATACCAAAGAGAGCCGTGATCCCAGAGATTCTCGATCCACTCGTGATGCCCATGATTACCGAGACCGTGAAGGTCGAGATACTCATCGAAAAGAGGATGCATACCAGGAAGAATCCCGAAGTTATGGCAGAAACCATTTGAGAGAAGAAGGTTCTCGTACTGAAATAAGGAATGATTCCAGAAATGAGTCTCGAAGTGAAATTAGGAATGACCGGATAGGCAGAAGTAGGGGGAGAGGTCCAGAGTTACCTGAAAAAGGTAAGGTTTTTTGACTTGTCAGTGAACTGTATCTCATATGCTTATATAGAAAATACTAGATCTCCTAAGATTTCTTTTCTAAATGTATTATTTCTTACATTCATTATCATCATTTTGTCAAAGTAATTTTCAGTTAATTGAATTCATGATCTTCTCTATAAGTTCTAAATCAGAATACTAGTTAAAATAACAAAAGATAAATTGGGCCTGACCTAGACCCCCTGGTTGAATTATATATCCAGTCATGTCTACATCTTGATTAATGGGAAACACTAAGAAAATTGCTATCAGGCAAAAAAGTAGAATCACAAGGAAGTTATTCCTACTAAACAGATATATGCAAGGGATCTTCAAAAAGTTCATGGAAACATTCATATTATCTTTCAATTCTATTTTTCCACAAACTTTTTGAAGTACCTTCATATATGAGGAAATGATTAAAGTAAAGGATTAAAATGGTGGGTTTTAAAAATTGATGGCATCAGAAATGACTGATTTGTGTATTCTTCAGCATTTGTACTTGCTTCAAACCATCACATCTCAGGACTTGAATCCATTTTTCTTTTCTTCCCCTAAAAAGCATTTACCATTATCCAAATGACTTAAATGTAGTTATGACTGTCTTCAAACTGCTGGACTTTATTAGATTTGACCTTCCTCCATCCTTATCCCCTTCTCTCCCCTCTCCCGAAACACTGATGCAGAACTTGTTATTCTTTCCATTGGATTGTTGGTCTTTTCCTGGTCAGTATTGCACCTTCACATTTAAGTGTTGAAGGTTCCTTACCTTCTTCAGAGATGTCTTGGCTTTTCTTGACCTTCTTTTTTTCATAAGATTTTAGAAAACAGTTTTTAATTTCATGAAAAACTGTCAGATTTTTGTTTCAAATGCATTAAATTTATAGATTTATAACTTTTCTCAGTAAGGTTTTTTGCCTTTTTTATTTCTGGGTACCCTCTATTTTTGTTGCCATTGTAAATGGTACTTTAAACATTTTTTTAAGTTAAAAAAAATTTTTAAGTAATACTTATTCATGTGGTTCAGAATTTCAAAGGACATGTAGTAAAAGCCTCCCTTCTATCCCTGACCCCCGTTGCCAGCTTTGTATGTATTCTCCCAAAAAAATTTTACACAAGCAAATATGTATGAGGGTACTTCAAAAAGTTCATTGAAAAATAGAATTGAAAGATAATACAAATCTTTCTATGAACTTTTGAAGTACCCTCGTATGTCTGTTCATTTTCCCCTCTGGTTTTACAAAAATGATTTTTATAAAACTTTTTGGGGGTTCAAAGGTGGCTGACCACTACAGGGATCTGAACCCTCGACCATGGTTTTATCAATTAAAAAATTTTATTAAAAAGTAAAACTCTATACTGCTCTATACCCTACTGTTTTCACTCAAGTGTCTTGGAGATCATCCCACATCATTCAATATGGTAAACAGCTGCTTCCTTCTTTTAGCAGAAAGTGTCTCTTGTAGGATATACTATAAAGTCAACGAGTTCTGCATTGATGGATGTTTAGGTTTTCCAATCTTTTTCTCTTTCAAATAGTGCTTTAGTGAATAACTATGTACATGTGTCACTAGAGCCTATCTTTTAAAACATTACATTTACTAATGCTTATCACTGGTACATGGAAATGGTAATGGATATTTATGTTTTGTTTGTTTGTTTGTTTTTGGTGGCTGGCTGGTAGGGGGATCCAAACCCTTGACCTTGATGCATTCAGCACCACGCTCTAACGGAGTGAGCAAACTGGCCAGCCCTTTTTAAAACAGGTCTAATTTTTCTTAACAAATATATCTGAGGACAGACAGATTCGGCTCTTCTTTTCTGATTATTATTTATTTTCTGTCGATAACCTGCTGAGCATCTTCATCAGTACAGTGTAAAGTGGAGTGGGCTTCTTTGCTTTGTTTCAGATTTTAAAGGATTGTTGCTGGCATTTTACTATTAAATGTAGTGTTTGTAGATTTTTTACAGATTTTTTTTATTTTGTTAAGGATTCTCCTAATTTTCCCGATTTACCTAATAGTTGTACTGTTTTTTCTCTGTCTTGAGAAGATCATGTAATTTGTCTCTATTACCTTATTACTTATGTTAATATATTTTTTTAAATTTAGAACTATCCTTGCATTCCAGGATAATGCAGTTTTGTCATTTTGTCATTTTTTTAAAGTTCTAGAGTAAGCTTGTTAAATTTTAATTTTGAATTTAGCGTTTATGTTTTTAATTGAGATTGGCATATAATCATGGCACAATGGTAAATTTTTAATAACTGACTAAGAAAAAAAGTCCTGACTTTCAGCTTTTGCCAATGTCTGTGGTAAAAATAACTCCTACCTTAGGCAGATTGTCAGCTAACATGATGCCATGCAGTGTGGAGTTGGGGAGAGATGCCCACAGTTGGCTCCTGTGAGCCAGTATGAACCAGTTCTAGCATACCACTGCATAGTTTTCAGTTTTTATATTACCCTCCTTTGGTTTGGGAATCAGAGTTATACTAGCCATATAAAATGTATGGTTTCTTTCTGGAAAAACTCTTCTCTGGAACAATTTATATAGGTGATTGGTTATTTGTTCTTTGAAAGTTTGGTAACATTTGTCCTATGGCTAGAGCATTTACTACTAAATGAGTTCCTCCAATACTATAGATTTGTATAGATTTTCTGGTTTTTCTTCAAGCAGTTCTAGCAAGTTATATTTTTCCAAGAAATTTGTTTTCAAATTTTTGATAAAAAGATGTTTCTAAAATTTTTTTTAAAAATCTGTTATATCTATAATATAGTCCCTTATTTTTTCATTGATCAATCTTGCCAGAGGTTTGTCCATTTTAAGTCTTTTTAAAGAACTAATTTTTGGTTTTGTTTATATTCTTTTGTATCTCTTTTGTTCTCTTTCATTAATTTCTGTTCTTCTATTTTACTCTTGTTAAATATGTAGTATTTATATTAGCACCCATTCTAAACACTTTTTAACTTTTATATGACTTCTTCTTTGACTCATGATTTATGTAGAAATAGGATTTTAGATTTCCAATCATGCTTTTTAAAATAAGTTCCCTCCCCTTTTTTAAATTGTTGCCAGAGAATATACTTTTAAAAGTTCTTTGGTATGTGTATTTGTTTAATCTTATTTTGTGACTCAGAAGTTTTAGTAAGTGTTCTGCACATGCTTGAAAAAGGTTGTGTTTTTAATGGTTGGATGCCAAGTTTGTCTCTAAGACTAAGTTTGTTAACTATGCTTTCAAATCTATATCTAATTTATTTTAGTCTGTATGTTCTGTCATTACAGACAGGTGAGTTATATCTTCCCCTATCATTGTGGAATTTGTGGATTTGTTGATTTCTTCTTGTAGTTTGATCAGTTTCTGATTTGAATATTTTGAGGCTTTGCTATTAGATACACATAAGGTGAATTGGATAGCTTGAGCGTGATGAAAGAAGAGAGGAACGAAGAGTAGACAGAGTGGATGATAGAAGAGATGAGAGGGCTAGAGAGAGAGATCGAGAACGAGACAGGGAGAGGGAGAGAGAGAGGGAACGTGAACGAGATCGGGAAAGAGAAAAAGAAAGAGAACTAGAAAGAGAGCGTGCTAGGGAACGGGAAAGAGAAAGAGAAAAAGAGAGGGACCGTGAAAGAGACAGAGATCGTGACCATGATCGAGAGAGGGAAAGAGAGAGGGAGCGAGAAAGGGAAAAAGAACGGGAGCGAGAGAGAGAAGAAAGAGAGAGGGAGAGAGAAAGAGAACGAGAGAGAGAACGAGAACGGGAACGAGAAAGAGCGTAATAACTTCGTATAGCATACATTATACGAAGTTATACGACTCAGCCAGTGAGTGGGAACCGGTCTCCACATGGGATCCGAACCCTCGGCGGGAGCGCCGCCACAATCCCAAGTGGCGCACTCTCCAGTGCGCCACCGGGCCAGCCCTTGGATAGTGCTTTTTGTCATGAAGTTTGTTTTGCTGGCAGCTCTCTCTTGGTTGGTATTTATTTGATATATCTTTTCCCATCTTTCCAACCTTTCTGTATCCTTTTAGTTTAAATGTAACCCTAAACAACATATAGTTATTAAACATATGTTGATCTCCTCATTGTATCTTCCTTGATTCTCAGCTTTCCTTTCAAATTTTTCATCTCTTTTCTCTGTTTCGCCTTCTGGGTCAGATCCTCAGACTTTTAGTTTACCACTTTTCTGATAGCTGCATCTAATCTGATGTTTAAACTTTGTATTCCTATGTGTTATATTTAGCCCTTTTGTAGTCTTTTAAAATGTTTTAAATTTCTTCTTAATGGTCTTTAATTATTAACATAATCTTTTTTTTTTATGACCGGTAAGGGGATCTTAACCCTTGACTTGGTGTTGTCAGCACCACGCTCACCCAGAGAGCAAACCGGCCATCCCTATATGGGATCCGAACCCGTGGCCTTGGTGTTATCAGCACCGCACTCTCCTGAGTGAGCCACAGGCTGGCCCTAAAATAATCTTAACAGATATTTTGATTGCTAAAATACTCTGTTACAGTACTTAAAATTATGCTGTAATTCTTTTAGGGCTCAAGGCCTGTTACGTGTAAGTTCTTTGTTGGTTTTCAAGTTTTTTTGAGTTTTCTTTTTGTTTTAATCTTGGGAAAGTGCCTTCCAATTCTTGCTTTGGGTGGGTTGGTTTTTTATGTGTTTTCTGTTAAGTTTGGCATGAACTCTTATTCAGGGTTTATTTCTGGTACTTCTATGAGGTTGAGGGCAGGGTTCTCCAGAGGTTTTGCTTTGTTTTTGCCAAATATTCCTCAGTTATCACAGCCTCAGTACTGCTTCTCTTTCTCTACTCACAGCACTCCCCCAAAAATTTTTTCTAAAAATTTTTAAAATTTTGTATTAGGGATTCATAGGAGATTGCAAAGGAATGTACAAGGAAAGCTGCATACCCTTCCCTCAGCTTCCCTAATGTTAACATCTTACACACCTATAGTACAGTATCAAAACCAAGAAATTGACATGGTGCAATCCATATAGCTAATTCAGATTTTTACCAGTTATACATATACTTGTGTGTGTGTATGTTTGTGTAGCTCTATGCAGTTTTATCACTTGTGTGACCTTATGTTACCATCTTAGCAACCAAGATACTCAACTGTAACATCATAAAATTCCCTTGTGTTACCCCTTTATAGCCATACCTATTCCCTCTCCCTGTCCCTGGCAACCTCCAATATGTCCTCTATCTTATAATTATGTTATTTCATGAATGTCTCATCAATGGAATCATGCTGTATATATCCTGTTGAGATTGGCTTTTCCACTAAGAGTAATTTTCTTGAGGTTCATCCAAGTTTTTGCATATATCAACAGTTTGTTCCTTGTTATTGCTGAATGGTATTCCACAGTATGGATGTATCATGGTTTGTGTAACCATGTACCTATTGAAAGACTTTTGGATACTTTCCAGTTTGAGGCTATTACAAATAAAGCTACTATGAACATTTGTTTCCATGTCTTTTAATGAAAATTTTCAGATATCCCTTAATGTTGCCAAAGTACTTTGGCTCTATCTTGAGATGTTTTCACTGTGTACTGTAATTAAAGCAATAATATATATTCATATTTTTCATTATTTTCATAATATTTCTGTGAGTTATGTATGAAGAAATAGTTTTTATCTTCCGTTTTGTTGTTTTTTGTTAATTTAAATGAATCTTTTTGCTTTGTGATTCTATCATATTACCTTTTTCTAGAAGGAGAAAACTGGGACTTAGCTTACTCAAGTCAGTCATTGAACAACTTGGGGGTGTTATAATCCAGTGCTTAATATTCTTTTCAATAGTAATTACCATGCTTTGGAATACTAAATAATAATAATAATAATAGTGTTTTTTAGGAGGAATGAATATAACTGAAGAAACTTGTTGAATAAAGTGTATGTGTTAAACATTTGTGTGAATATCCTTTGTTTAGGAAGTCGAGGCACAAGAGGTTCTCAAATTGATAGTCACAGTAGTAGTAACTATCATGACAGCTGGGAAACTCGAAGTAGCTATCCTGAAAGAGACAGATACCCTGAAAGAGACAACAGAGATCAAGCAAGGGATTCTTCCTTTGAGAGAAGACATGGAGAGAGAGACCGTCGTGACAACAGAGAGAGAGGTTTGTCAAATGCAGTTTTATTAAATAGTGACCAACATCAATTGGGGAAATTTTTTTAAAAAAAACAATTATCAATTTACTTTTTAGTATAAAATATCTTTTAAGACCTGTGCTTGATGACACATTTGAAACTATTTATTCACATAACCTTATAAGAACTGCCAGGGAGTAGCAGGAAAAAGATGGATGATAAAGCTGGGGATTGTTGGGAGAAACATTTTATTCATATTCCATCCTTAGAATACATAATATTTGCTTTAGCTAATTATATATTCTTGTATGTCTTAAGCTAAAAGTTTTCTGTAACCTATTATATGATCTCTTAAAGAAATCAATTTTGAAGCAAGATTACTGGGAAGCACTTAATAAGGGTTAAGTACTGTCTTTGGCAAGCTTTTCTTGTCTGTACATATTAGGGCCTTTAAACATTTAAAATCTCATGAGAGTCTTACTAACCTTGGCTGATTACTGAAGTAAGGTTCACTATAATGCTGAGGTTAATATATAATATGAAACTTGGTGGACCAGAGAGTTGAATGTTGAGCTTTTACTGTGGGCTGAATCAAAGAGGTAATATTATATCTTGATATGGATAGTAATGGGAGAAGAACAAAGTCTCTAAGACACCTTCTACTTTGGGGAGTATAGATAAGATCAGAAGCGGAAGAGTTGCTTGGGTTGAATTCGTTTAAGGTAAGCTTAATGCATTTGAGTTAAAAGATGCATAGGATTTGCTCATTTACAGATAGGGCTGGAGTTTTTATGTTCTGTATTGATATCGGGAATTATTTCTTCCCTAGCACTTTGATTTACCTCTCTTTAAATCTAATTCTATGTCCTGATAATGTTTTTCTTTAAAATATGTATCTCTATTACTTTTTTTCTATTTTCATAACCTAGTTCAGGTTTTTCTCATCCGATGCCTGAATTCAGTAGTTTGCTTTCAATCTTATGTCAAGTTCACACACACACACTGAGCTTCTGCTAGGTACCAAGAACTTTTGGCATATATTCTCTAACTTATTCTTTACAATATCCCTGTGAGTACAGGTAGATAAGATAATCCATGTTTCAAAGTTTTGGAAATTAGATCTAAGAGAACTAAGTTTCCAGTATTCCAGAGAAGTTCCCGAGCTGTTTCAAACTCGGGCCTTCTGACTACAAGTCCAGTTCTTATATTTTATTTTATTATTTTCTATTTTTATTTTACTTATTTTATTGAACTTCTTCAATAAATATCAGTTGTATGATTAAAATATACATATATTTCTGGAGTTATTGATGTATTCTAAAAATGTTTATTGAGCACCCATGCCAGGCACTTTGCTAGATACTTGAAATACAACAGTTTTTGTCCTTGTAGAACTTAATGGAGGAAAAGACACGCCCTCCAAAAAAAATAGAAATGATTATTGAGTGCTATCAAGGAAACAAGGGACCCAGATAGAAATGAAGAATAAAAGAGGGATATACTTTAGAGTGTTTATGAAAATTTTGAGGAGATGACATTTATGCAGAGGCATAAATGCAGGAGAAAAGCTAGCTTTGCAAAGATTGAGAGTAAAAGAGGAACGAGTATGTGCTAATTCCCTAAAATGGGAAATAACCTAATATGTTCTAGAATTTGATAGAAAGTAACGTGGCTCCAGTATGGTGAGCAATAGGGAGATTGATAGAGTCGAGGGTAGAGATGTGCCCAGGCACCTTGTTCTGTGCTTGGCGATGTAAATCTTTCCTTTTGTTCTTCACAGTCTGATCATGGTACAAATAGACAATTAAAGTATGATAAATGCTGCTACTATATAAAGTTCTCCTTTTGTTCTTCACAGTCTGATCATGGTACAAATAGACAATTAAAGTATGATAAATGCTGAGAAGAGATAAATATGAGAAGAGAAAAGAGCAAACACAATTCTGAGGAATTCTATGAAAGCCAACTAAAGAGGTGACATCTGAATTAGGACCTGAAGGATACATAAGAGTTTGCTAGAAGTAACAATGGAAGAAGCACTTTACAGGAAAAGGGGCAGAATGTGCAGGCACACAGGACTGAGAGAAATATATGCTTTGGAGTAGTAAAAAATTATGTTGGAGTAAAGATATGGTATAATTGGTAGGGTAGAAAAAGAGCTGAGGAGAAGAGACTATAGGCCAGCTTGTAAATGACCTAATAAGTCAGGCTAAATATTTTGAATTTTTTTTTTTTTTTTGTTTTTTGTCTTTTTCCGTGTCCGGCAACGGATCGCAACCCTCAGTGTTGCCCCCGTACCGGACCGGGGACCAGCAACGGGATCGCAACCCTCGGTGTTGCTTCCGCGCCTCGCTCAGCCAGTGAGCGGGAACCGGTCTGTATGTGGGATCCGAACCCTCGGGTGGGAGCGCCGCCGCGCTTCCCAAGCAGCGCACTATCCAGTGCGCCACCGGGCCGGCCCTAAATATTTTGAATTTAACTGCCTTTCATTGACTACAAGAGAACTGCTTCTAAGTAGCTGGAAGAAATAACGTTTTTACCAAGAAATGTATTAAGAGTCTGGGAAAAGACTGAAGACAAGGATACCAGCCAGTTAGACTGTTAATGACATAGTCATCTAAGAAGAGTTGATCAAAGTTAGAGAAGTGAAATATTTTATTTTAGAAGTGATGTATTTCAGAAGTGAAATTGATGGGACTTGGATAGGATGGGACTTAGATAACTCAGAGATTGCTAGCTTTCATGAATGGGTATGTCATTCATTAGGATAGGGAAATATATGCAGGGAAGTACATCTTTGAAGAACACATTTTGTGGAAGGGATAGGAAAGATTCTTTAGACATATTGAAATGGTGTCCTTATATCCTTTCCATTTTCCTTTGAAATAAGGAGCATTGTCATTTTGGTTGGGAAAATAAAGGTTTTATCTGCCAAAAAAGAGTGAATAAAGCAGTCTGTTCCCTGATATTGTTATAATCAGAAATTTCAAGTAAAAATTGCAGTAAGTTACAGTATTGAATTTGTTTCAGGTAATTTTGTAATCATTGTGATGTTGTTATGACCCCCAAACCAGAAATTAAGACAGTCTAAAACATGGGTATATAGTATTCAGAGAGTCCAAAGTGTTGTACAGTAGGACCATTTTAAATTTAAGTTGGTTTCAGCAAAAATAAAAGGGTTTAAGAAAACTGACTTCTAGTCCTGATGTCCTAATGTGTCTGCCATCTCTGTGACTTTGGCAAGTCAACTTCTTTACCATAATTTCTGTTTTTAAGAAGAAAGGGGGAGAAAGGACTGGACAGGGTTTCATTTTGTTTGACTTTAAAATTCTATGAACTTTTGTATCTATATCTATAACCTTTAAATAGTAAACATCAATAATTCTTGTCTTTTTACCAGTGATAAGGAAGGGAAATTCAAATTACTGTATTGAATTCTTTTTGGAAATATCCTAAAATTATTCTGATAAATAAGTTGATGTTAGATGTTCTACTTACCAGCCTGTTGGCCATATTGTGGTATGACCTTTATGGACTAACTGATAGACTTTATTACATAAGTGTGGAAATAGAAACATCACAGTATCCTAGTTCATGCCATCCTCTTTTACATTTTTTAAACCCAGACTAATTTCCTGCTCAGCTGGGTATTTGGGCAGCATGCATTTATTCTCTCTGTGTTTATGTGATTCGTGTGTAGACTGGAAGAAAATATAAAATGTGATAACATTTTAAGAAAACAGCTCTTTAGCTGAGTAATGATTTACATCATTAAATAAAACTTTTAATTTATTAGTAGTTATTAATTATAGATATATATCACTAATATGAAACAATTTTTACATTTGACTATTTCAAGCTTGCTAGAACATCAGTACCCTTAATATTCTAGTTTATGATAAGAGATTGATATTGCAGCAACAAAATTTGACATGTTTTGTTCTACCATATTTTTCCTCACATAATAGCTGCACTTTGATGTGTATATATTTTGGCCTGAAATTAGAGGTGTGACTTACGAGGGAAATTTTTTTTTTCCTTCAGCTCCTATGTTCTACACCTCCTGCTGCCCCTATCCTTTGCCACCAGTGTTCTCAGGTCCTGCTGGGGGGACAGAGAAGATCAGAGGTGAAGGGTAGAGATGGCAGAAAGTGGGGTTGGAGCAGTGGGCTGGAGGTAGGGTAGGGAGCATGCAGAGAAGGATCAAAGTGGATCAGTGGGAGGGGGAGGGGGGGTGATGGGGAGCAGAAAACTTGTCAGTTAGAGGGCAAATAAAAGTTATCTTTAAGAAAAAAATATTTTTAAAAGGTCTAGGGGTGATTGTTATTTGAATGATTAAATTAAAAGTAAATATAGTAACTAATTTATAATTTGTTGCCAGTCTGACCCTATATACAGATAAAATTTAAGATTTGCCATACTATCTTACAAACAGGTTATCTGTCAAATTAATCACTGACAAAACTTGATTTTCATTGTAGATCAAAGACCAAGCTCACCAATTCGACATCAGGGAAGGAATGACGAGCTTGAGCGTGATGAAAGAAGAGAGGAACGAAGAGTAGACAGAGTGGATGATAGAAGAGATGAGAGGGCTAGAGAGAGAGATCGAGAACGAGACAGGGAGAGGGAGAGAGAGAGGGAACGTGAACGAGATCGGGAAAGAGAAAAAGAAAGAGAACTAGAAAGAGAGCGTGCTAGGGAACGGGAAAGAGAAAGAGAAAAAGAGAGGGACCGTGAAAGAGACAGAGATCGTGACCATGATCGAGAGAGGGAAAGAGAGAGGGAGCGAGAAAGGGAAAAAGAACGGGAGCGAGAGAGAGAAGAAAGAGAGAGGGAGAGAGAAAGAGAACGAGAGAGAGAACGAGAACGGGAACGAGAAAGAGCAAGGGAAAGAGAGAAAGAACGAGAGCGTCAGAGGGAGTGGGAAGACAAAGACAAAGGAAGAGATGACCGCAGAGAAAAGCGAGAAGATATCCGAGAAGATAGGAATCCAAGAGATGGACATGATGAGAGAAAATCAAAGTAAGAACGATTATAAATCAGTTTCAAAAAGCTACATTTCAGTAAAGAATTCAAAAGTTTCATTTAATGCTTTTCAGTGTGCCCCTTAATTTCCTGTTAATTCTTTTTCCTCTCTACATTTTTCTGTATTTCAAATTTATTATATGAGGGTACTTCAAAAAGTTCATGGAAAGATTTGTATCATCTTTTAATTCTATTTTTCCATGAACTTTTTAAAGTACACTTGTATATATTTGGTGTTTAAAGTCTTTTTAATTGTCTAGGAAAAAAATAATAATTTTTCAGTTCTCCTTTTGTGTCCAGGGGATGTAATTAATCTGTTCTTTACTATGTATTTTTGATGGCACATGGGCTTACTCAACTGCTACAGACTTTTTTTTAAAAAAACAGAAATCCAACATAAAAGTTAATAGAACATAAATGTGATAGAATCAGTGAACTTTTGTCCCATCATATCCCATTTATAACTACTTAATGGTGTTGACTAGTCACCAAGAGATATTTCGTGTGCCGTTCCTGATAATCCTTCATGAGTTTTGTGTGGTTGCAAGTGTGGAGTCACCACCCAGAGGCTACAGGAAGTATTCACAGTGTCTTTAGAGCTAAGGGAATCCTTGTAATCACTGCATGAATAGAAGAAGATAAGAGATGAACTATCCTCTCTTGTGGTTTGGAGTATAGTTATTGGGGTCAAGAGATGTATCCTTGACACCTCATATACTATATCTGAGGGCATTACTTCTTTCCTCCCCCTGCCAACTTCTCCCCCCCCCCCCCCCCCCCTTTTTTTTTTAACCCACAGAGAACTTATTTGCTCAGGTATCTGGGAAGTCGAGGGTTAGCTTTTTGCTTGTTCTGATGTGACTATATCCAAATTCTCAAACACAGTGTCAGGAATGGTACCTCTTCATCTCTCCATTGTTTCCCTCTGTGTTAGTTCCAGTCTCAGAAAGGTTTTCTCCAAATGATGGGTACAAAGGCCTCAGGGTTTTATCTGTCAGCTTAGCAGCCCTCTCTGTGTAGGACTGTCATTAGTTGAGGGGTAGACAGTGATTGACTAAGCTGATCACTATGACCATGAGAATTGTGGACTCTGGCTAATTTTGAGGTCTTAAAGGCAAAAAACCAGGCACACAAAAAAAATTGGAGTTAACTGCCTATTTTTGATAGCAACTGGGATAAAAGTTATAGTTAAGCTTGCTAAAACAAACTGAGGAAATAATTCATATAGCTTCAATTTACTTGCCCCTTCCTCCAGCTCATTTGCCTCAAGGTGAATTCAGGCTCTCTGTGTTAGGCTTTTTTCGTCATTATATTGTGGATTATGGTTATGGACACACAACATAGCACGGAAGTGGAGCTTTCTTCTATTACATCTTGACTGCTTTTTAATCAGCCAGGATTTTCTGTAATACACCCTCCTGCCTCTCCCTCCCCACATTTTAAAAAATCTTACATATCATAAACTTCAGAGGTACTTCCTTTAACACATGTAGGTACACATACATATTATTTCTCTTCCCTCCTCTGACCTCTTTAGCTGTCTATCTTCTAAGATTAAAATTCTGATATCTTTGTTATCTATCTTTTATCCAGTCCTATGCTTTCAGTAATCTTTTTATGCTTCTCATCTCTGCTTATAATAGCAAAAGTTTTTTCTGGTTTTCTGTGACTAGATAATCCCAAGACTTGACAGTGACCCCACAAACTTAGAAGTTAAACAACTCTATAACAAAAATTAGCTATATGAGATGATCTCTTGATCTTTTCATTAATTGTATTGTCATCTCAGTAGTTAAGTTTATCTAGCATTTTTTTTTAGATAGCTGTTATGTAGAAGGTGCTGAATTGCCATAGTATTTATTTTACTCTAATTTTATTTCTTTAGGTATTTCCTTGAAAACTTTAAGTTCTTTTTCTCATGTTTTAAATTTTCACTTTATTCTAGTGTATTGGTTATCCCTTGCTGTGGAATAAACCACACCAAAAGTTAGTAGTTTGAAACAACAAACACTTATTCGCTCATGAGTCTATGGATTAGTAATTTTGCCTGGGCTCAACAGAGTGGTTCTTCTGGTTTCAGTTGAGATCACTCAGGTGTCTACAGTTGATCTGACAGTTCAACTGGGCCTGCATGACTCAATTTGGCCTCACTCACATGTCTGGCAATTAGGGCATCTTATTTCTCCTCCACATGACTTCTCAGCCTCCAGTAGTCTAAACGCTGCTTTTGCACGTAATGGTGGAAACATACCAGGAAGGCAAAAGTAGAAGCTACACGGCTTCTTGAGTCCTCTCAAAATTTGCAG